ATATTAGGAGTGCCTCCTGACCCGATGCTTGGGTAAATGGTGGAGACTTCTGAAAAGGAGTTTTGAGGAAACTTATCTTGTAACCTGAAACAATTGAGAGAATTTGTGGATCCGATGTTAGGGTTCTCCAAGACATTATGCACTCTGAGAGTCTGGCTGACGTCCCTTCTGGTGAGGGGGACGAAAAAACCCGTTTTTTGAACGAGGCCCTTGGTAATTTGGCTGAGATTTAGGAGGGTTTGAATACCCAGTGGATTGATACTTGTTAAAGGTGTCTCCTTGATGTTTGTTTTGAGACTGGGAACTATTATTACGTCTAAAAAAGGATTTCCCTCTAGTTTGTGCCAAATTTTTTGTGAGGCCCCTTGACAACTCGGCCTGTTTTGAGGCCAGGGAGGGCAAATCATCTCCAAATAGCCATGATTTTGCATTAGGTAGAGGTAGTTCCGCGAGTTTTGTCCTCAAACGGTTTATGGCAGCACGTACTTTCTGTTGTCTCAGGATAGACAGTTGAGCATTGGCTAAGCCTAAAAGGCAAAGAGTTTGTTCCAAAGCTACTTTAATTTCCTCATAAGTTGGAGCTGAATCATTTTCGATACAATCATGAAGGTCACAAAGTGGGCCCGTGGCATTTAGGAAAGCACGCTGAACATTAAACATTTCCTTGTCCCTTTCTTGTACAAACTTTTTCACTTTAAGTGGTACTTACTTGATTCAACAATTGTTGATCGAGTTTTGGAGCAGAGAGTGCATCCACTTCAGGTGTTGCCCAGTCATCCATAATAACCAGAGATTGCTGGTAAGATAATTTTCTCCAAAAGTTAGTATCCAGAAATTTGGAGAAAGAGGTTAATGGTTTCCAGGAGGTTGACTTGGCAACTGGGTCGAACAGCCCATGATCATCACTAGTATTCGCTGAGTTTTCAGCTTCATCAGATGTCTTACTAGACTCTGTTGGTGCCTTAGTAGGCACTACAGGTGCCTGAATAGGCTCTACGGGTGCCCCAATGGGCGTATTAGCAGTCTTAAAAGACGCTTCGGTCGCCAAAGGTTCACTTATCTCCAAGCCTGACATTTCACCAGCCATAATCGACAAAACATCATTGTCTGTATCTGCAATAGTTTCTGGCTGATTTGCTCGGGACTCTAACAAGTCTATTCGGTTGGAAAGATGTTCAATAGACTGAAGGATCTTCTGAAGGGGATCGTTTTCGTCCTTGTGCCGTTTCGGTGGGGATCCTTCATGATGTACGTCAGGTGACGAAATAGAGTTTTGGCGGGAAGATGGCGACCGGGAACAAGTCCTTTTATGCGACTTGTGTCTTCTGTGGGATATGTTCAGCGATTTTAAATATCCTGAAAAGCGACAAATATCACCAAAAAGAAACCTACTGCGTAAAAACACAGAGGTATAGCCTAAAAAACGGTTAGAATTAGTAAAAAAAGCAAGGCAAAAGCAAAATCCTTACCGAATGGTTTGAAGCACAAGGAAAAAAGCCACTGAAGCATCATGGGACCACGAGATCTAGGTCCCAGGACCTTGTGGGTATACCCAGGCCCCTAGTATTGTTTTCTTTAGGGGGGTTCGCCCTTCTGTTGGTGTTAAAAGTGGTTTGAAGCACTAACTGGGAAATTCCTACCATTTGTTGTCTCATATATTTCGAACGGAGTCTGTGAAATATAATGTGATTGTTGGCATCATCCTTTCTCGTTGCTTGTTTGTGTTCAGTCAGTCTCAGTCAGTCTGCCTGTCTCACCAATGTAGGGAGCCTGGCAGTCCGAGCATTTGATCTTGCAAACTGCTCCCTATCTGTTGTTGGGTTCGTCCTTTCTTTAACATGGGTCGGTAAGTGTCGTAACACAGTTGTAGGTTTGTGGGCGAAACAGATGTTGTAGGGTTGTAGGATCCATGAGATGGTCTCAGTTCTAAGTGCCCTTAATGTAAGGTATAGTCACTGTAACAACAAGTGTCAGGTTTCTGTTTGTTTTGTCAGTTTCAGTAGGTCCATGAATATTTCTTCTAATGAACTCAGCGTTGTAGTTGTTCAAACCATTTACCGAGGATGATGATCACACTCACATTTTTCTGGACAACAAGAACAAGTAACATATGGAAATACATGCAAAACAATTCTAGACCTTTCTCTTTATCAAGCTCAGTTGAAGCTGTCATTCCTTCCAAATATCATCAAACTAACCTTCTGTTTTTCTCATCTCCTTCTTTCTCTTTTTATGTTCCCAGGTACCTCCTTCAATATCTTCATCTGAGTCATATTCATACTTTGGTTTGTCACTGTCTTTTTGCACAACTGCACCAGCCTGATAAGCTGCACGCTGAGCCAATATCCTCATGTACATTTCTTGAATCTAAGAAGAAATGACAGTATGCATCTGGTTGCTTGCTTACACTGAATAGGTATTGTACCAGATAATTACAACAACAACAACAACAGCAAGGAAGTGTAGTGAGCGAGAAAACAAGTGACAAAGCACACAAGTAAAAGTGATGATGTCATAATTAGTTCTCCTAAAACAGTAAAACACTGAATTAAGAACACCTCTACATGTAGAAATATTAGAGCACTGTCCTGTAAACTTAGCACCAGAAATGTAAATCACAATAGAAACAAAATGACACCCCTTGTACCATTGCCATGACACCAGTTTTGCTGCTGGTCCTGTTTAAATCACGACTGAAATTGGCAGTTTTAATCAAGATCATCCACTCCTTAAAGAGTTGCAAATGGGGATATTTGGTTTTTGACAAAAAGAGGCTGGAGCCAAGATTGTTGCCATGGCAATGGCACCACCTACGGATTTAAAAAATGCTACCTAGCACGAAAGCTGTGGAACCTGCTACCAGAGTCAGACAGAACTATCAGAACTTTTGAGGCTTTCAAAAACAGTACAAAGAAAATTGACCTTTTGGGCCTTTTAACCTAAATTTTTACTTGTTACATTATTGATTGTACATATGATTATCGTTTTACTTCTTAGCATAACATGTAATTATTTTAGATTGTATTTTATGACCTGACTTAAACTTTCTAAACTTTTAAATTTTTTTAATTCGTGTGTTATAATATTTACTTTTCAATTTATTTTTCATTTATGTGGAATACCTGTAAATAAGCTGGTGTGTCATTTCATCATGTGATATCAAACCTGAATAGCTAAGTGTATGACACAATAAACTTATAATATAATTTGTATTGTACTTTATTGAGTGTCATTCTGTTTCTTTTGTGATGTACATTTCTGGTGCCAAGTTTCAAGAACACTGCTCCAATACTTCTACAGAAATTTTTGATTCAGTGTTTTACTGCTTTACAATGTCATCCAAAAAGATAAATATCTCTGAAATGAAAGAAGATATTCCAAAAAGGAAAATACCATTCTTCTTTATTTTGAAAAGCCTTTCAAACAGGCAGCAGTTTAAGGCCAATGAGTCCACATTATCCTTACATTCAAATTACCTCTTGCTGTTCTTTGATTTGCTTCTGTCGTTCCTCTTCCTCTTTGTTACTCATTGGTATGCTGTGTTCAATCTCTGCAGCTACAGCCAATGCGGCAGCAACTGCTGCATCACTGTTAGAAGATGATGATGACGATGATGTAGGTTTTGGAGGGGTTGGATCCCACCTGCTCTTTCTCTTTCTCTTTTGGGGTCCACCACTTGTGTCAGTCTCACTGTTGTCACTTTTAGTGCTACCTTCTACTCTGTCACCCCTCAAACACTTAACAAGGTTCTTGTAATATTTGTGATCTTGACTGTTGACATCAAACAAGAAGCTGTGGAATGGAAAAGCCAGAGACTTGTGCTAGGATTGTAATTCAGAAACAGTTCAAAACATGTAGTGGAACAACTTTTTGAAGCAGCACTGCTTGTTGTGGCATGTAAAAATAGGTAGAAGTACTACTACTACTCCACTCTGCAAGGGTAGTGGCCTGTTGCAGATTAGCATTTTAGCAGGCATTTTTACAGTGCAGTTGAACCTCAGATAACAGCCACCTCTCTACAACAGTCACTTACATGTACAACAGTTGATAATGTTCCATCTTATTTTAATCTCTCTGCAATGGCCACCTCTCCACAATGGCAATAGCCACTTAAAGTGCATCCCACCTGCTAAATAACCTCTCATCAATGAGCAGTTAATCAATGTCTGGCGAACAGTGTAAACAAAACCCCATTCTTTTATTGTAAAAGGTCACAAAATGTGATTTGTACTGCATATCGTTGTTCCTGTTTTTGTTTGGTTTCTGTTTTATTGATACAGTAGAACCCCAGTAACTCAAACACTGAAGGGAAATGAAAAACAATTCAAGTTAGCGGGGGCTAGAGGAAGGTCGATTGAATATCCAACTTGCCATGTTAACAATTGATAGTTTACTGAATTTTCAGCACCTCAGTATACAGTTCTTATAAGATTAAATTTGGAAATACAGTTAACAATAAAGATTAGCGAAAAAACTGAGCAACGACGTTTCGGTGTCATCCTGGCACCATTTTCAAGT